ATTCATATGAATGTCCCCAAGCGTTTTTGGCTTGAAACTATCCTTTGTGCTGCCTATCTCATTAACTGCATGCCCTCTCGGTGGTTAGAGTACAAAGGCCCACATTAGCTTCTGTTTCCCAAGACTCCTCTTCTGTCTATTCCTCTCTGTGTTTTTGGTTGTCGTTGCTTTGTTCAAAACATGTTACCCACTCGTGGGAAGTTGGATCCTCGTGCTATTCCTTACATATTCTTGGGGTACCCTACAAATCAGAAGGGGTACCGGTGATTTGATCCCATCTCTCAAAAATATCATGTTTCCTTGGATGTCTCTTTTTTTTAGAGTGACCATTTCTTCCCTGTTTCTCCTCAAGGGGACTATAGGCATGAAGACAAACAAGTTCAAAATCCTCCTCTACCTTAGGTTTAGCTCCCTCCTCTACCTAATCATCCTCCCTTCTGTGTTTTCTGTTGTCGTCATAAAGGCCAACCAAGTTCAAGAGCTGTGGAGCATCGAGAAGTTGTACCACTAATGTCATCAAATTCTCCGGGGACGGATCCTACCCAACCAGGTAACTTAGTTCCCATTGATATTTTTGACCCTATTGCTATTGATACCTCAAGTGTTGATGATCTTAACCTTCCTATTGCTCTCTGGAAGGGTGTTAGATCTTGCACCACCAAGCACCCCATTTCCCATTTTATTTCCTATGAAAACATTTCACCTTCCTTTTGGGCATTCCTCTCTTCCATTGACAATGTTCCTACTCCTAAGAATGTGGCAAAAGCTCTCTCAGTGCCTAAATGGACATATGCAATGAAGGAAGAGATTAATGCATTACATAAAAATGGTACATGAGAATTGGTGGATCTTCCTGAGGGAAAAGAACTAGTTGGATGTAAATAGGTATTTACAATGAAACATAGGGCTGATGGCACAGTGGAAAAGTATAAAATTCATCTAGTGGCAAAAGGGTTCACTCAAGTGTATGGGGTGGATTATGCAGAAACTTTTGCACCAATTGCTAAGATGAATTCCATTAGGGTTCTCTTCTCTTTAGCTGCTAACTTCGATTGGGACCTTCACCAATTGGACATCAAGAATGCATTTCTAAATGGTGATCTAGAAGAAGTGTACATGGTACAACCTCCTGGTTTTCGGGCTCAAGGTAATGAACATAAGGTATGTAGGTTAAAAAAAGTCTTTATATGGCCTGAAACAATCACCAAGAGCTTGGCTCAACAGATCCCAGGTAGTTGTACAACAAAAGGGCTACAAGCAATGCCAATCTGATCATACATTGTTTGTGAAAAGAGGGGAAGGGAAAATTGCAGCTCTAATAGTGTATGTTGATGATATAGTTATCACTAGTCAATGGAAAGATGAAATTCAAAGGTTGAATGAAGGGATTTCTTGCTACTCGGTTTGAGGTGAAAGATCTAAGCCCTTTGAAATACTTTCTTGGAATTGAAGTTGCCCGCTCACAAAGGGTATCTTCATTTCTCAGAGAAAGTATGTCCTAGATCTGTTACAGGATACAAAAAAGTTGAGAGTGAAACCAGCTGATTCTCCTATTGGTCCTCATCACAAATTAAGTGATTGCCCAGGTGAATCCATCAAAGATGTGAAACAATTTCAGAGGCTTGTAGGAAGACTACTATATCTCTCCATGAATCGGCCATACATTGCTTATGCAGTGGGTGTTCTTAGTCAATTCATGCATGCCCCTAAGACCACACACCTTGAAGCAGCTAAAAGAATTCTCAGATACCTTAAGAAATTCCTAGGTGCAGGTCTATTGTTCCAAAAGCACGGACATCTAAAGTTTGAAGTGTATACTGATGCAAATTGGGCAGGATCGCTAGATGATAAGAAGTCTACCAGTGGCAATTGTACCTTTGTGGGAGGAAACCTAGTCACTTAGAGAAGCAAAAAGCAGAATGTGGTAGCTAAATCTAGTGCTAAAGCTGAATATAGAGCAATGTCTCATGGAGTGGTTGAAATAATGTGGTTAAAAAATCTATTGAGTGAACTGGGATTTACAATTGATGGACCTATGACTTTATATTGCAACAACAAAGCAGCCATAAACATTGCCACTAACCCAGTACTGTATGATAGAACCAAGCACATTGAGGTAGACAAGCATTTTATCAAAGAAAAGGTTGTCAAAGGGGAAGTGTGCACCCCCTATGTCAGGTCTAAAGATCAACTTCTAGACATCTTCACAAAAGGGCTACATCATTTGCAGCACAATGATYTATGTGACAAGTTGGGCATGATTGACATCCATGTCCCAACATGAGGGGGAGTGTTAAAAGACTAGTTAAAGTTGTTTTTTTCTTTGTGTTTTTATTTCTGTTAGTGTCACGGGGGTACTATTGTAATTCCCCTTGTCTTTATGTTATGTTTGGTCGCCCTAATTTAAATACTAAAAAGTTGGCGCCGCCAACATCTTTTGAGGTTCTCACAAATCTCTCTTCTCTTCTCCCTTCTTTTCTCTTCAGTTCTGGACAAGAGATATATAATAACTGTCCCCCCCCCATTTTTTGGGCTTTTGGGGAGGGTGCTTCTCTACCAATAATGAGACCTTAACCGTGAAAATCCAACTAAGATCTGCACCCAACAATTTAAAATCTTCATTCCTGATAGAGATCTTAGTATCACACAGATAAGTCAAGAAATCAATAGAGGGAGTTCCATATCACTTCATTAGCCATCTCATAGAACTCCTATATCCCTAATTCCTCTTTAATGCTGTTGTGAAGTTCACTTGTAATGGGTGGCTCCGGATCTGCTACCAACATCTCTCCCCACATTACACCCAACTGCCACCTGTCCATTAACACAAGAGCCCAACCTCCATGTGTGAAACTAAATGTCCATTCCATTACTTCTTAAACTGGAAACCCAAAACCTCTCTTCTCCTAATTTTCCCCATTCGAACAAGAAACCCTAACATATTAGATGTTCTGAAATTGCTTGAAGAAATAGCTATCTCTTCGAATCTGAATCCAAGCTACAGCAGTCAAATTCACGTTCCCCTTGAAAGTTCAATTTGAGATGCACAGCTAGTGCCTTTTTTAGGCACTGAGAAGAGAAGAGATATAGAAGAGTTTCAGACTTTCAGTATCACTTTGCGGAGCACCGGTTGTTTACTCAACACAATATTTGTTTCCATAGCCTGTTGATGATATGATGAAAAGATTCTCTACCAAGAATCAGAATACATAAGCTGCTACTGTTAACCTAAACCGATGAATATTGAAATCTTGCCAGTGCATTGTTTTTTTGGTAAAAATATTTTTCAATTGCAAACAAAAAAAAGAACACCCATTACAGTGGATACAAAAATAAAATAAAATAAAATAAAATAAAATAAAACATTAGTCTGCTTGAAGAAAGGGCAAAACTCGGCCTAATTGGTGATGACTATGGTCGGATAGTAGTGCAGCTTGGCTGCAATAGCATGAACCACTATATTGGCCTCTCACTAAGTGTGCAAGAAGCAAGATGGAGAGCAATGGTGGCATCAGAGATTGATGTCCGTAGGGCACTGCCCAATGGAGAGGAATAATGCTTTTGTGGATCGTTAATTGCAGCAATGACATCTGGAAATAATCCGCCCATGCAGTTTTGATGTTATCATGAGAGGTGAGGTTTTTGTTTATTCTTCTAATGCCTTTTTATCATAGTTTATATTTTTAGAAACAAGGAAATGGTGGATGTATCAAACACCAGTGAATAGACCTTCAAACGTTGGTGAATGTGTTGTGAGTTGTGAGTTCTAGGGAAGTGCAGGGTGAACAGAGGTTAGGGTTTCTAGTTTGAATGGGACAAACGGGCTATTGTGTTGGTGGAGAGGTGGCAACCGGGTGTAATGTGGTGAGAGAAGTGGTTAGCGTCCAGTGGGTAGCAGATCTGAAGCCTTAATGGGCAGCTACAACCACAAAATATTCCCAAAACAATAAAATTGGGACGAAATTGAATGGAATGGCAAAACGGGATTCATGTAGCTTCCCATATAGTTGGGAAGGCTTAGGATGATATGTGGTTGTGCATAGTGACCTCCAAAATACATGATGATCAGTGTTGAAACCCATGGGGCACTTGAAGGACTATGTGTACAAGGTTTGAAGAATTTTTAAATTGTAGGATCCTCACATATCCAACCAGGCATGAAGTTGATGCCAGTTCAAAAACCTTGACGAGAAACTGTAGATTGTCAAGTAGGAGTGGCACCCTAAGAAACCTTACCTTCAGTATCACGGTAGAGAAAAGAAAAGATCTAAAAGTTTTAAAAAGTTATTTTTGGTTTCCAATCTTAAAGGAACATAAAATGGAAAATAGGTGCCAAGGTTATGTTCGTTGATAAAGAGGTCATTGCTTGGTGCCAAGGTAAAATCTCAGGGTGATAAAAGTGAGAGTTTGGTTTCAAGTATGAGAATGGCCACTTCCTATAGAATTGCCGAAAGTGGCCAGAATCCAGTTCACCCCATCCAATGACGCGACCCAGATAACTAGGACCAGCATTGGGTAATGGCTTTTTTATGTGAGCTGAAATTTTATTTAAATGGAAAAGAAAATAAGGGGAAAAAACACATTATATTTCGAATCCAAGAGTATACAATACCAAAGCTTCCTAAAAATGAAAAATTTTGTCAATTATATGGTACAAGATAAGGAAAGGAAAAAGAACCAATCAGTGAGGAATTATAACTAAATAAAAACTGAATAAACAGTAATAGCAGAACGAAAACTATGACAGGGTAAAATGGATCCAAAATCAACCAGAGTGAACGATCGAAAGACACAAAAGAAACATTCAAGTAAGGATGATTCTGCAAGTTTAGGTAGCTTCATGGCTATAGAACCCTAGATTTACAAATCTAACAACTATAAGTCTAATTTTCTGAAACATATTAAATATATTCTATTCGATAATCTAAGCGAGCGAATTCAGCAGATAAAGAAAACAACCTAAACTACAAAATTAAGATCGGAAAGAGGAGGAAATATACCTGAGATGAATAGAAGAGACCGACTATAAACCGACTGACTGCGAAATTGGGCAACGAGGTTTCGTCAAAGCATCGCGATTTCAGTTGATGGAGGGAACTCAATTATAAGGGTGGGAGCGGGTTTGCAAGTCAACTGTTCTACGGGCCAAAGTTACGGCCCTGGACCAACTGGTTATCGCCACGTCACTTGGTCTTCACGCGATGAAAGGAGAAGGGAAAGCGAGGGCACATCTGCTGCGACGAGCGACTCCAGGCTGGGTTTTGCTTTGCACCTGTGACTGTGAGTCTGTGACAAGGGCAATAGCTTGGGCCCCTGGATGGGCCGGGCCGGGCCTGATCTGGGCTTAAAGATTGAAACTTGAAAGTGAGTCCATATCTGTTGATGAGCGTGTTCTGGACTTGGAATGGAGATCATTACCACAAGAAGAATCTGCCACTGGACCATTCATTCCTAACATCTGGAAATAGAGAAACAGAATGGTCTTTGAGAAAATAGAGATTAACCCCTCCTTCACCATCGTGCAGGCTAAGAAGGCACAAATCTCTGAACTGAATAAGTGCCAGTGGACTGCTGAGGAGACGAATGGGGAATTCCCACAAGCTGCCAGCAGCCCCGGAAATGGAGAAAGCCCCAATTCACCAATTACCATCTTTGAGAAGAACTATTAATGTTGCAAAAAAAAGTGTTGTACTATAGAAAGGAAAATTGAAATACGACTCAGGGCAAGTAATTCAATAAATAAATAAATATGTATTCTCAGTTTCTTATCCAATTCGTCCACTCTACCACTTAAAAGTACGTCCAAACCATGCACACCTAGCTTGGTCAAAGATAAAAAGAGTATCTATTATCATTTCTAACTTCCTTACAAACGGGGCACCATCTGATTTATGAACTCCAACCTTTTTATGAGCTTTTTCCTTCTTTTTCCTGTCAATGTGAAATGGAGTACATTAGCAGTACACATTCAAGACTGTGCACTGTGCACTCGCATCTAATGGTGGTTCTCAACTCTCAATCCTCCAATTAATGAATTAAGCATCCAAAGTAAATAAAAAACATTAAAGAAAAAACTCTTGATCCTCCGAGCATGACAGCATGGGATATGGAATCTGGAAATTTCAACAGTCTCGTGTTCAGAAGTAGAAACCCAACCTTTAGCATTGTTTTTGGTTCATTTTTTCATTTCTTTTTTCGGATTTTGAGAGGAAAAGTTGATCAATGAGATTTTGATTTTCATCAATCAAACAAGGTTCAAAGTATCGATCCGATCAACCGATACATATTGTGTCGATTGACTTTCCGATATTCCCCTCCAGGGGTTGTATCGGGTCAGACCATGGTTCAAAGGGTAGCTGGACCTTAAACCGACCCCTTTGAACTGGTTTTGAAAAAAAATAAATAAATAAATAAAACTTAAAAACCATGGTTCAGAGGGTAGCCAGGCCTTAAACCAACCCCTCTGATCTGATTCAAARTATCGGCCTATGTCGATGATACTTTGAACCTTGTGACCAAAAAACCCATATCATTTTTTTAAATTTATGTGGGTACCGGGAAAAATTTACTTTTCTGGATATCACTTACCCAGATAAGTGATAAGTGATACCCATCTCCAAAGTGCATAAATAACTTTTCCACCTGTGAGAAAAGTTATCAATACTTGAATGGGGCAAAAATGCCCCTTTTAATATTAGATTTTTATGACTAAAATAATCATTGCCCCTTTTAATATTGAATTTTTATGGCTAAAATAGTCATTACCCCTTTTAATATTAACTAAAAACTTGACCAGATAAGTGCATTTACCTGAATAAATAACTTACCGAAAAACGAACTTGGGATCCCCCAATAAAACAAGGACAGGACAACAGTTAGTCAATTACTATAAATTCAAATTTTGAAATTATTTTTTTTCTTTTTGATTTGATCGCTGCGTTCCAGTTTATTGAGTGGCAAGAAAGTATTGAGACCACCAGTCGCAGGAGATGTGCTCTCAATCACTCGAATCCATTACCTCATCGATACTGAAGGGTAAAGAATTAATGCTACTCATTTGAACATGTCAATTTCAAGTAATGATCTGTAACACGTTAGTATGCCTATACGAATTTCTATCGTTAAAATACATGGGAAATTTCCAAAAACGTTTTACGTCGGGAAGAATTCAACTCTGTTAAATCACTACGATCTGACTCTGAGCAAAGAGCCAGAACTAGATAAAGAACGGGACAATGCATAGAAACATTTCTTCAAGCTCCATTCTGCTCAAAGCTACCAATTTGTAAAAAAGAATTAATGTCAATATCAATTTGCCTCCTGAGCCTTGACCCTCTCTATGCACGTAATAGGCGTTTCTCACCCATCAGGATCTTCCAACTTGCATGTGGACCCTCAGATGTGTCGCGTAATGTCGTATGCCATCCCATGGCTTTGGATACCTCCTGAACTTCATTTATAATGGACAGGGCATCACGGATGTATATACGTCCCCCTGGTCTCAGAATCCGATCCATCTCAAGCATGATTGTAGAGATATTGCATCTGAAACAAAGATCAATAGAATACAAAATGTTATAGTTCTCCCAAGGTTTAAAGTATTGATACTCCCTCATACATAGTTTCCACATATCATACTATTTCAAAAATCAATACTTTTAATTTTTAGTGTTCAACCCATCACCTATTCTAAAAATTGATATTCCCTAAGGAAGATCAAGGTTCAAAGGTTTAGATACTCTCTAATTTGAAGTATTTCATGTATCGCCTATTATAAAAATGATTAAATATCATACCATACAGTATGATATGTATTGATAGTTGATACTTTGAACCTTGAATTTTCCAAGAAAGAATATCAGTGGATAAAATCACAAGAGATCATGCTGTTACTTCCCCCGAGCAAGTAACTAAGAAAAAGAAGAAAAAGGTGTATAATCTATTAATCTTGTTATTATAACTATTTTAGTTTGAAACAATGGTGTACTGGGAACCAGACCTTTTTTGTTCAGTAGAGAAGAGGCCAGATGCATGCAGCAAATCATAAGTTCTTGGATATGTATCAAACGGTTCACACCTGGGATAGAAGTCAGGAATAAGGTTATTTTTCAACCACCACTATCATTCTAAAGAGCAAAACAGACCAAATGGAGTAACATATAAAAGCTAAATAACATGCTTAGTGGGGACATATGATTAACATTCTAAAGAACAAAGCATACTCCTGAACCAGTAGACTGGATAGTGAGACATATGATTTAGTTGCTTTCGGCATTGGAAGCTCTTAGATTCAGTTAGATTGCCAAGAAAATGTAATAAATTAAAAGAAAGTTATGTAAAAGATTTCCTGCGTTTTCCTTTTACTCCCAAAAGAAAAAGAAAACCGCATGATGAAAAAAGAAAAATGATAAAAAAATATAATCGTTATTTTCTTAAACATGCTTAGTTGGCAAGAGAAAGTAAATATTTTCTTTAAATAGCAGTTAGCATTCCACATAGGGTTGTTTGTGTGCTGGTAAGCATGAAAATATGGGTTTGAATCTGAGAGATGCCACTTCGTGGAAAAAAAAAGTGCTGGAGATTAGGTTCTTATCCTACCTCTCCCAAGATCCCAGATACCTGGGACCAACATAGGGTAATGACCCTTTTGTCTGTAACCGTGCCCCATCCACCAATTTTTGCACCTTGCATCAACTTTCTTTTTATTTTCTTAAACAGTAAAGACTTTGTTGATAACAAGATTTGAAGTAATCGCCCTGACATTCCCAGTATGTTGGTATGTATTGAACAGGTACGACAGCAATAAGCTGACTCTAAACATCTCGATCACACAAATAGAAGGAAACATAGATGAGAGTCCCTAGGTTAGTTCCCCCCAAACCAAACAAGTCCCTCCCTCCCTCCCTCCCTCCCTCCCTCTCTCTCTTTCTCTCACACACACACACACGCGCGCGCACATCATGTGTAAAACTGTCTAGTTAATAGGCCATCTTTATAGTCTAATAGACAGGTTAACATTACCTCCTTTCTGCAGTCACATAGAACTGGATATGTCTGAAGTAAAAAACTAGATTTCAGCACATGCATTCATGTATTGATGTGAAATAGATGATTGACCCCACCAACAAAAATCCTTTGTCAATATTTGAGAGCATCATTTTAAGACAATTTTTTATAGTAATAAAAAAGGCATATAACAAAGAAGGCAACAGTTGCCTTGGTATTTTACGTCACTCCTAATTCAACATTGACAGCCTACAAAAAGACAAATTTGGAAATAAAAAGATACAAAGTGCATACACCATACCAATCATGCATAACCCCTATAAGTCCGCGGTCAAATATAACAGGCAAGGTGTTTGGCCCACTAACAGGAACAACATTCAGTACCCAGCAATCAATCTGTTGATCAATTAATGCTGCTGCAAATCTGCCGAAGTTATCAGGTCAGAAAATAATAAAAAGATAAACTCATAAAGATGGTATCAACTGTGAAATTGAAAAAAAAAAGAGCATATATGTATGCAATGAAAAGCTCTTTTTGATAGTGTTAAGATGTGTCGAATAGGGGTAGTTTAGTCTTCTTCTGTTTATTAAGTAACTTGCTTATGTGGYWRKGTTATTAGAGTTACTCTGCCCCACACTTAAGTAAGGGCATTTCTGTCTTTGTAAACATGATTAGAAGCTAATATAGATTAAGGGGGTCGACTGAATGGGTTAAC